CATGGGGTTTGTCTTGATTTAGAAAAAGCATTTTGGTCTTGCACTCTTTGTGACTGCTGACCAGCTTCTGTTCTGAGATGAAAAGGTGCAGCTCCTTAAAACAGCAGCCTGAAAAAAAAATTGTAGTATAGCTCTAAGGGAAGCTCTGAGACATCGTATTCCTGCCTAACATCTTCCCTCTATCAGAGAAGGAAAACAGAGTCTCATGGCGGGGCACTGCTGCTCTCAGAAGCACAGGTATACATTATGAAAGACTGATTTAAGGAGTCTCAGCAGAGGACATCCTCTACAACAAAATCACTAGGTAACCTTCCTCACTATCTGTTAACATTTCCACTGGACTTTAAAAAATATATTGTAAATACATAACGGCTCAATTAATAAAGTTGGTTAAAAATTTTTCTTAAAATCTGTTACCATTCAAAAAAAGAGGAGGTGATTGCTGCAGTTCATATCAAGTCTTATTTCAAGGTGCAACAACACATCCAAATATGATATGTAAGTTCCAGTCAGTCATATTGCCTTGAGTGTCTGTGGGGAACAAGCAATGGAAGCTGTCCTAGCCACTGGGAGAAGCTGCTGATAAAGTTCCATATGAGGTTTCAATTTATGCTTTAGACTTCTGACAAATCCATTGTGTGCTTGAATTCTGATAATTAGAGGATTCTTTCTTTAGTTGTGGGTGTTAACTAGTGAAACTACTTTGGGGAGCATTACTACAGCTTGTGCTGTATAGAGAGTAAAAGTAAACCCCAGAAAACCAAAAAACCTTGGATTTACTTTAAACTTTTCACACTCATGATGATTATAGATCTGTATTTATAAACTTTGTTCCCTGACAGCTTTGTTCAAAGGACTGTTTGAGCATCGGGTAAACAAGGAAAATACCACATTTAACTAGAAATTCACTTTGAACCATTGGCTAATGTGTGCCTGTGTTACAGGCAGTTTTTGCTTTAACAAAGGTCTGTTGTTTCTCTCCAATCCCAGACTTTAGTCTTCAAACCTCTTTTATGCAGCCTTGCCATAGAGTCACAGGACTCTGTAAGTTATCTACCAATAGTACACCAGAATTAGCTGGGCATACTGTTTGTCAGTTCTCTAGAGCAGATTGTTCCTTTACTTTGTTCTCAGCTGGTTTATTCAATTTCTCCCCAGTCTCTCTTTAAAATAAAAATAATTTGAAAAACAAAACAAAACAAAAAAACCCAAAAAACAAACCCAAAAAATCCAAAACCCCACAACTGTAAAGTTCTGTAGAGCCTTTCTTTGCGAAATCTACCTGACCCATCATGTTTTCATATTAGAAAACAAATTTAATAAATTTTGAAGTGATGATTAAATAGCCGAGTTAAGAGGCTAGTTAATTATCCAGTATTTGTTTAATTGCACCTTGTTTTAAAAGGCTGAGTTTGTCAGAGGAGATAGCAGTTAGAGGAGTTAGGAAGACAGTATCATATTGTGGATGGTAGATACAGAACGAGTGGTTATAGCAATGGTTTCATTTAAGTAGAAATATAAAATAAAAACAGCTGAATTAAAATGGAGAGGGAAATATATCACAGTGGGAACAAAGAATGGATAGAACATGTCAGCCAGTGGTTAAGGTCAGATACTTTTAAGGGCCAGAGGCAGTGCTATTCAGTGGTTCATGGGGCTTTTATGTATTTTATTGTATGGTTCTTCCTGTGTTTACACATTACTATTCTGAGTACTTTGTAGTAAAGACCTACATTGTTTTTTGTCTTCTGAAGCTTATAAAATTGTGAATCAGTTATACATGTGTCTAATATTAAATTCTTAAGTTCTCTAGCTGTAATTAAGACCTGAGGAAACTTGAAGTGCTATAATACTTACAGTTAGACAGATTAGTATAGGTTCATCAGTTCCTGAGATTATGGTGTAACGTGTTTACAGGTTTTTTAATACTGGGGCAATTTTTGATTAATTTAACTTGTGGAATAATGTATGATACCTATCATCAACAGTATGCTTGTTTCAGGAACATGCACAAGCTTCTGATAATTATTATACACGTAATCTATTTACAGACATTTTTCTTTACTAACTCCTAATTTTTAAAGTTGTCTAATGTCGTTTAGTACAAAGTTTTATAAGCTTATCAGAAAGTCTTTTACTGTTTTTAAAAACCTGACTGAAAATGTGCTTTCTGTAAATTAGTTATGTGCTATAAGCAGGGTTTCATTAACTGTCATGTGTTATGAAACCTGTTTGTTTTTTTTCTCTCTTCTGCTCCCTTTTTTGGTCGTTAGTGTTTTGTTTTTTTTTTTCCAAATGACATCACAGTGTAACATCAGATAACTTCACATTTGCATGTACCTCTGTAATTTCAGCCTACCTAGTTCAGTTTCAGTAGGTGTTCAGACATAAACTATGAAAAACTGGGGGTACTATATATTTCATTGTTGATGTCTTCCTAGCAGCCTATCATGAAAATTCCTTGATGCTTCTGGTTGCAGGTGATCAGATGCTTTGAGGTCAGGATTTGATGTGCATTTTTCTGTTCAGTTTCTGTCTTGGTTAAAATGCTAAATACCTTTCAGACATGAAATGTCTTTTGGAAAACTTGTTGAATATACATGGTTTCACATTTCTCTGCTCATTACAACTCCTGAATTGTTTTCTTTATGGAAATAGTTTTTTTTTTTAATGCTGTACAGCTGCTTAAGATCTCATAGTTTTGTTTCTCATAGCTAAATGTAATTTAAATACATACCTTTTCAGACAGGGTTTGTTTGGCTTTTTTTTTTTTTTTTTTTTTTTTTTTTGCTTTATTTTTCAGTAGGAGTGTGCTGCTTAAAGTTATGATGCTTTGAGATGTCAGTTTCCAAAACCCTTGCTTTAAATTCCTTACCATTGTTATTTAATTCTTTATTTACTCAAGATCAGACTAGATATTTTAGCATAGAACTTTGTTTAAAAAACACGTTACTGGATGGCCTGTGGGGACAGTGTGGTTTAGCTTTTAAAGTCACTGATAACAGTAGAATATGCGGTAATACATAATAGTGGAGAAAAATAATTGTGCACATATCTACTATCCTTATTGAGCTCTTAGAAAATGCTTCAGCAGATGAAAACTTTTGTGCCCATCTGGATATTCTCATCCACTTTGTTCAGATTTACAGACTCGTGCGTACCACTCTCCCATTCCCTTCCACAACTGAAGTGTTCCCATTTTGGTAGAGCAAAAGTTGCTCAAGTAGGATTCCCTGGCTTCTAGGAATGATTTATACCCAGCCATGATGGAAATTTAACTGTATTGTGAGAGCAGTGATAATCTGAATGAGGTTATACTTCTCTGTCACCTGTGATGCTGGGGATGCCTGAAGTATTTGACCATTTTTAGGGAATATATGTTTCTCAGATGTTTTCTTGCAGATTATTATAACACCAGGCTGTGTAGCGCTGTTGACACACTGTGCGGAAGGGATGTGCCATCCAGAGGGACCTTGATAGGCTTGAGAGGTGGGCCTGTGCAAACTTCATGAGGTTCAGCAAAGCCAAGTGCAATCCTGCACAAAGGTCAGAACAATCCCAAGCACAAATATAGGCTGAGCAGATATAGAGCAGCCCTGTGGAGAAGAACTTGGGGGTATTGGTAGATGAAAAACTGACTATGAGGCAGCAATGTGTGCTCAGAGCTCAGAAAGCCAACTGTATTCTGGGCTGCATCAAGAGGAATGTGGCCAGCAGGTTGAGGGAGGTGATTCTCCCCTTCTACTCCACTCCGTGAGACCCTACCTGGAATACTGTGTTCAGCTCTGGGGTCACCAACATAAGAATGACATGGACCTGCCTAAGCTGGTCCAGAGGAGGGCCATGGAGATGGCCAGGGGCTGAAGCACCTCCCCTGCGAGGACGGGCTGAGAGAGTTGGGGTTGTTCAGCCCAGAGAAGAGAAGGCTCCTCAAGACCTTAAAGCAGCCTTCCAGTTCTTAAAGGGGGCCAACAGGAAAGATGGGAGGAACACTTTAACAGGGAGTGTAGTGATAGGACAAGAGGTAATGATTTTAAACTGAAAGAAGGTAGATTTGGATTAGATACAAGGAAGAAATTCTGTTGTGGAACACTGAAACAGGTTGCCCAGAGAAGCTGTGGCTGCCCCCTCCCTGGCAGTGTTCAAAGCCAGGTTGGACGGGGCTTTGAGCAACCTGGTCTAGTGGAAGGTGTCCCTGCCCATGGCAGGGGGGCTAGAGCTAGGTGATCTTTAAGGTCCCTTCTAACTCAAACCATTCTGTGATTCTAGATACGTGATAGGAACTGTCTTGTGATAAGGACTATCTGTATCCTTACTGTAGCAACTTCTGTTTTCTTTCTGCCTAGAACAGAAAGCAAGTAAGGGCATTGGCATTTAAAATTTAGTCAAGTAAGATAGCAATGAGGTGTTTTTTTAAAATAAATCATTATTTGGTTTTCTATGAAGTGTTACAGAGATGGTTATAGCTCTGCACTTATTAACCACATAGAGAGGCTCTGCTCATCCCCTTTACCCAGCCTTCAGAGCTGTTTTTCAGAAGTTCTGTACATGTGAAAGATAGTAAAATAGTTAACCAATACGTTCCAAAGTAGTGTTTCAGACATAGAAATGCCATATAGCTGAGATAAGTCCTTCACAAACCCATGCAGCTTAGTGGCTCTACCTTGCCAAGAAGGGAAAAAAAGCATTTAGCTCAGCCTATGGACAAGTACGTACTTTGCATTTTGGAAAGAATGAGACAGATAATTTTAGCTGCTTAAAAATGTATTTTAAGACTTCTTCCTTCTGTTCTTTTTGAACAAAGTTGTGTTAGTTCTTTACAGATGTAATTTTCTGTCACTTGCCATATGCTCCCTGCTTAATTCTGCAAGGCTTGTCAGCTTCAGATAATTTAATTTTCTGTGCTTTAAAATGACATTCATTATCAGGACATGAAAAATTCAAATGATTAACTGCAAATTGTGACTAATAAAGCATCTATTTTTTTTGTTTGTTTCCAGAGAAAAGCAGAAAGCTGAAGTCAAGGACAGAAGGGTTTTAGAGATTTTGCAAGCCAAAGACAGCAAAATAGAAACCCTAGGCCAGGTTTGTATTATGTTTAAATAGAGCAGTTAAGAAAATTTCTATTATTGACATCAAATTTATGTTTCTTAAGATGAGAAACTATTTTGCTACTGTGTCTTAAGGTGAAAGTTGCAGATGATTCAGAGATGATAACCTTCTGATAAAATATTAATTAAACTCTTCTGAGTTGTTCAAACGGTTCACCTTTTACCTGAAGAGTTCCAGTGACTTTAGATTAAGCTTTCTGAAAAATTTTATCAACCTATACTATATTTTGCCTAATGGACTAACCTCAACTTGGGTTTTAATCTAGAAGAGTTCTGATGGTGCTTAGATTCGTAATATGCTTGTGGTTTGGAAAGATGTGCCATACTGACAAATGAAAAAATAAAGCCCTTTACAGTAATGAGGGCTAACCGTGTAGTATCGTAAAAGTAATACAGCTATGTATTCAGTGTTACTGGCCTATATCAATATTTATTAAGTTAGCTGATATCATAAACTATAAAACAATACTGTCAAATCCAATGTCATACATAAGTGTTGCATTGTGTATTTTCTACTGAACTGTTCATATAAAATGAAGTGCTGTGTATCAGTAAAAAATTTAAATTGAAACCATGTATTGAGCTAAGTCATTGGTAAAATTGAGGAACTATGAATGCATTTTCTAAAAACAAAAATAATTATTTGAAGAGTAATCAAAGCTTTTGAACCCTTCATAGTATTTGAAATAAAATACTTAGGAAATCCAACACTAACAAATGCTAAATAAACACAAGAGAACAATAAACATTGCACGTTAAATTTCTCTATAAATCATAAATTGTTACCTCCTCAAGTCTATGAGGAGAACAGAATGTGGTTTTCCATATTATTAATAATAAGAAAATCATAATCAGCCCGAGTGTGATATGGAGGAAGAGAAAAAGAATTACTTCACAGATAATAAAGCTGATAGCAGAAACACAGAGAAAGATCTAGGGTGTGCATTTCAGATCTCTAAATTCTTCAGTTCCTGGGGATAAAAGTCTTAAACGATAAATAGTTTTTTCATAGAAGCACAGAGTGGTTGAGGTTGGAGCCAGCTGCCCAGGACTGTGTCCAGATGGCTTTTGAATACCTTCAGGGTTGGAAACTGTACAACCTCCCTGGGCAACCTGTGCCAGTGCTTGGTCACCCTCACAGGACAAAGTGTTTCCTGATGTTCAGAAGCAACCTCCAGTGTTTCGGTTTGTGATCATTGTGTCTGGTCCTGTTGCTGGACACTGCTGAAAAGGACCTGCCTCCATCTTCTTTGCATCCTCCCTTCAGGTATTTATATACATTGATGAGATTTCCCCCTAAGCCTTTCTCTTTTGACTGAAGAGTCCCAGCTCTCTCAGCCTTTCCTTACAGGAGACATGATCCAACATCTACATCATCTTAATGTCCCTTTGCTGGTATCTTTCCAGTAGCTCCAAATCTGTCTTGTACTATGGAACCCAGAACTGGAAGTATGAGTCCATGTTTGGCCTCATCAGTGTTGAGTAGAGGGGGATCACCTCCATCAACCTGCTTGTGGTATTTTGCCTAATGCAGGAGGCCATGATACCATTTGCCTTCTGTCACAGTGGTACTTTGTTGACTTAGGCTCAACCTGTTGTCTGCCAGGGTCCTCAGGTTCTTTTGTGCAAAGCCACTTTCCAGCTGGACAGCCCCAAGCATATATTGGTGCACGGGACCCCAGCAATCAAGGTTGCATATTGTTCCTCCCTGGATGCAGGACCTTTCATTTCCCACTGCTGAATTTCATGAGCCCATTTCTTGAGACTGTCCAGCTGCTGAATGGCATTGTGACCCTCTGGTGTGTCAGCTACTCCTTCCGGGTTTGTGTCATCAGGAAACATGTGGAGGGTGTGCTCTACCCCATCATGCAGATCATTAATGAATTTTCTCACATTTACAGTGGCTTTTACTAAGGTCTTGATTGAATTGAGATAAGTTGTATAACCAGTGGTGTAAATTCAGGTTTCAGAGCATACCTACTTCTGGTTTGTTAAAAATTATACACCTATTGCCTGATGACAAATCACTGAAATGAGGCTATCCGTCCTTTTATTTTGTATTACAGCAGCGGCTGGAGTTTGTGTATATCATCAAGTCCTTGTGGCTGTAGGTGTGATTTGTAATATGTCTGGTGCATGTATGCACATTATTTTTATAAACCAGCAGTGAATGATTATTCCTGCATTTCTACCTTATCCTTAGCTGAAAGAGAGACTACCTGTGTAAGAAGTTTATAAGTATTTTTGCGCAGAAACGTGCTCTTAAGAAGGGCTCCCTGTTGTGGCAGCTTCTGAACCTGTAGTGTGCATCTTCATGAGATTGCTCTTTGTGGTTTCAGATCAATTTCAGAAGCTGAAATTGAAATTGATCAGAAATCTGAAATTGATAATGTGATGCAGTTACCATCTGGAAGTGAGAAGATGCTGAAAATGTAACCAGAGGCAGGGATATGTGCCAGGAAAGGAGGACTTGTCAAGAAGATGGGAGGAATTAACAGATGAAGAGGACAGAAGCTGCTGTTCTGACGATCGTCACAACTTTAATGAATGTTGTAATACAGCCCTTTCTAATAGCTTCCCTGAGAGTATCATTGACTCAGGGTGAAGTGTGGATTGTGAAAAGCAGCAGATGGTGCCAATGGCCAGTGCTCTGAGTAAAAGCTGGGTATGAAGGTGGTGTCATTCTGATCTTCTTGCCTCATTCATTGGCTGGAATGCCACAGGATTTGAAACAAGAAGGGGATCATATTCTGAGGTTTGGAGTGGTTTCAGTGGTATGGTAATCAGTGACTGGAGTTGGTATAGAGCACAGTGTAGTAAGGAACATTCTCATCTAAAAAGAAAAAGAGATTATTTGTGTAATTAGAATGCAAATATGTTGCTTTTGAAACAGGTTTGACAGTCATGGCAATGAACATTCTTTTCTGTAAAATACAGCTGGCAAGACTGTATTGCTGTCCATGAGTCTGTTATGTCTAGGAAGGTGATATTATATCCAGTTGTTTCTTTTGTTGTTTTCCCCTTTCCCTTCACACACTGTACAGAGATTCAGTTGCAACAATATAATTTGTCATAGGGTATTTATTTACTAGGAATTTCTGAGTGGCTGCTAAACAACTGATTGTATGAATCCATGCTGAGTAAGGGAGAAAAAAGGCAAATAAGTATCTCATAATTCAACATGTATGTAAGCTGATACTGCTGCCAGAAACAAAAAACCGTAGGAGATCATGAAATAATTTAATAGTAGTTATTTAATACTGAGACCTAAGTTAGCTTTATTTGTAATGAGATATTTCAACTGTTTGAAGGATTTCCATTTTAATGGATATTACTTGAAATCAACTAAATTAATTCAGAAACATGACTGAGAAGTAATGTGGTCTTTTAATCACTTTTATATAACTGGAAATGGAGAAAAACAGTGCTCAAATAGTAATGAGAATGGGACCTGTGGTTTTAAGGGTAAAAATCAGTGTAAATCAATTTTACAAAACTTCTGCTGCTAATATCTTTGGAACAGAGTACATACATTGAACTTTTATGTACTTTAGTATGACTTAGTCTGCTGTACACCTTTCCTAAATTACAGTGGTGCAATCTTCAGTTTTAGGTAAACGTGTAAGACCATTTTTTCTTGCCATGAGATTATTGCAAAACTGCATATTCTGTTAAACATTTTAAGTATGAAATAACATGTAGCATTTCAAAATGTACCATTGAAAGGTTCAAATAAATATAGTATTTGTTAAAGCACTTAAGGATTTTTTTTAATGTATTATTGTACATTTTTCAGTAATTAAGTACAAAATGTATTGAAGTATTTAATTGTATTTTTCCCTTTTTTTAAATTTTTTCTAATTGGTTGATTGGTAACTTTTAGTCTTGATAGTCACAGCTGTGTCTCATCTGGCATATACCTAGTTATTCTAAATGCTGTGTGGTAAAAATCTTACTCCTTTGAGGTTGGTGGCTAGATTGATATTATACTGATCTTATTACTGTCATTTTTGTTTTACACAGTGGCTCAAGACTCTTCTCAGTTAGTTATGTATCCTTGCATATATATGTAAATTCTCTATGTGTTTCAAGAAAAAGAATTTCTAATTGCTGCCTTTAAGTGGCTAACTCACTATCCTAGACTTTTAATTATTATTCTGAAGGGCGACTGCTAAAAATGTCTTTTTTCATTCTCCTTTTCTTTGTAAACATTTCCCACCTGGTATGTTTAATTTATATTATCTGTGTATGTTTCAAATAGATCACTAGTGCTTTTTTTTAAAAAAAAAAAAAGTTGAAGTTTTTGAAAGAATTATTTAAATTTCTTGAATTTAAACAATTAGGTTAGAAGAGAATATGGGGACAGAGAACTTAGTTTTATGCCATTCATGCAATAGATAAATTAAAATATCTTCACCTGTTTTCCATAGAAAATAAAATTAAAGACATGTAAAAGTAACAGTAAACCTTTTCTGTTGTCTATAACATTGTTAATTAATCAGGTTTCAGTTTTGATCTGGAGGAACTAAAGATAATCTTTTTGTCCTAGACCTTGTAATGTTTTATAACCTTATCAACTGATTATACTCCAGAGGGGTTAAAATAGTACTAGCTTGCCTCATTATATGCACTTGAAAATCTTCAGCTTACAATGCAATTCTGTATCAAAGCCCCTTTAATGGGCCCAAATAAAATTCTAATAAATTTTTCTTAACTTTTTGTTCTTTCACCTGATTGTATTTTTCTTTGTAATAAAATGCTGTTATTAAATTAAGACAAAGGTATACACATGTTATTGCCATCTAAACACTATTTCCAGTAGTATATAACCTTGATTATTCTTGTGTAATGAGGGACATGAGGATAATTTCAGTAATAGGGAGTTTGGATGAATGTGTCATCAGTGATGAGATTCTGTGAAGCCTATAAACTCTTTGCAAAAATTTTTCCAGTGAATGAGATTTATAGATATTG